AATATCAAAACAGTGTTGTTGTATGAGAAGTGTTCTTACTGCGTTTTGTCAGGTAGTATGCGAGTTTGGTTTGCACCATTACAGTTGGTGTTGGTTATTTTGTTTAAGATGGCGTGTGCCAGATATCTGTCCTGTGAAGTTACTCTTTCCTCCTGGTAATTAGTTAGTACTGTATGTTGTTGTGAGTTACTTTGAGACTGTAAATATCCCCCTGCCAACTAACTTGCTTCCTTCTCCCTCTTCTTCCTTCCTCTTCCTGTCTCCACCTGTCCCTTCCATCCATCTCTGTGTCTGGTCATTCTTTCTAGTTACCTCAGATGGGCTCATTCATGGAGTTCCCTTTTGTTCAGTGAGTTCTAATTAGTTATTCTCCTTATTTATTTTGATGGCCCAAATTTGGCCATAAGGAGCTCTTTCAGGTTGATTCTGTATCCTTTTGAGACGTCCCTGTCATTCTTTCCAACTTTCAAGTATAGTACACTGTTCCAGGCTTGTCTCGTATTTTCCCTACTCCAGCCCTGGAATCCACTCTTTCTACAAGGAGCCCTCATTCCTTTTAGTGGAGAATAGTGCTTAGGAAACAAGATCTAGGCATCAGATGTGGTTATTGCTGTTGAGGCAACAGTGCTTCCAGATACCTTAGCCTAGAGCTAGGGACACCCATACACTCTTCCTTTATGTTTATATCTATTTCTATATTTATATTTGTTTCTATTTTTACTTATGTATATATTAAAACACATAAGTTAATCAGATATCTCTAATTCCACTGTAATACCAGGGAATTCAGCCCAATTTTCTCCCTTTCTGTACTTCCGGGTTTCTTTCTTCGACAAATAAGAGGCTAGGTTCTCATTATCCTTGTTACGTTTAATTGTTTGATTAATTTCCTTGTATGTGATGAATCACCAGTCATCCTCACTGCTGTTTTGGGCATCTGTCCCCTTCCGGCCTTACTTAGCCTGTGCTCAGATATCTTCGCTGCTTGGCCCTATCTAGTGATGACTGTGGACTGAATTGTTGAGGAAGGGGAAGGGCAGGGGTGGCTTTGGCAGTTCAGGAATATGATTCCCTTAGTCTGGTGTGGTGTCTTTTCTGTCTTCTGGTCACTTCTGTTTTCTTTGACTTCATTCCTGGAGAATAAATCTGCCAGCCACTTTTTAGAAAGAAAACATCATCAAAAACAAACCACACTACCCTGTTTTATCTCTTCACAA